TGCTTTTTGTCTCGTTTATTATTATTTTTTTTTAGTACTGCAAAGTGTAGCGTTCGCGACACGATCGAATCGCACAAATAAATCTCACGACGTGATATTTTGCAGAAACATTACGTCAACAGGAGGAATAATATGTTCTCATGATCATAATGATGCCTGCCTCATGAGCATATTGCATTTGTATAAAAGAAGGAAATTATTTTCTTCCTATGTTACACAATTACGTGAAATTATACTTATCATCTTATTTTCATTATCTTATCATTTTCAGAAATATATAGGAATACATTTAAAAGTACAAAGCTGCATAGGTTATTTTTGTGCGTATGATGGCTACTTATAATTTACTTCTATGTTTGCTGTCATTTAAATTATGTCAAGTGTTATTTAATGCGTGGCGTGCCGCGAAAAATGCGCGCGTGACACGCGCTGGATTTTTACAAAAATATCGCCGCGTATTGTTCAAGAATGCTGCTTATTTTTTTTATATCATCAATACATTATTTCGTGAATGAGGTAACGCGTTAAACTAATACATAAAATATGAGTTACACGGAACAGAAAATAATATACGGCACGGGAAGCACGCGAATATATAAGCATTGCTACGTCAAGGAAACGTTCGGTGAAACAGCAATAATAATAATTCATTTTATTTTCCTTTCTCTCGGAACGTGTCTTTTTACTACAACAATGCCGCTGTTGTAAAACTGGAGACGGATGGGGGGTTACATGTATTTCAAACATTGTGACTGTTTATTCAGATAAGAAACATGAATGAATGTCTCTCTCTCTCTCTCTGTATCTGTCGAGATATAGATCTGTATTGCCCTACAGTTAATATTATCCATGCTTACGTCGTATTGTGTCGGAAATTGTAAGAATGCCTTCGCCGCGATCAAACCATTTCGCGCGCGCACTTGACGCGTTGGCGAACGGCTGATCGTTCGGCTGATCCTCGGCCGGCCTCGGCGACGCTCGGCCCGCCTCGGCAGCGCTCGCCGTTGTGTTGTCGGACGTCGGCGCCGCCGGTCGCGCGTCGCAACGCCACTCGCGTCGGCTGCGCTCGTTCATCAGTGCGCGGCTGGTCGGTGCTCCGTTCGTGCTCGTTGTTATTGTTGCCATCCTCCTCGCTGGTGCGCGCGCGAGCGCGCGCTCTAAATTTCGAACGCGCGTATCACATCGTGCCGGAGTCTGCGTTCTGACGTGGACCAACGAGATGCGATAGCCTGCGGGAGGAAAGCGGGGCACGTCGAGAGGAGAATCCGAGAGAAAGAGAGCAGCGTGATCTAGTCCTCCGTTCATCATGATCTCGCGACGTTCGCCGATCCACGTCCTGAGAATGGTAATTTCGAATGGACGCTAATCCTCCCTTGTTTCTTTCCTCGTTTCGACTCCGATTTGTCACCATCGCGGTGTTCACGAATGCATGTTACGATCTCGTTGTCCTCCGCGGCAACTTTCGCCGATCGTGCGATCGCGGGAGAAGTTTCGCGTGAGAAGTTCGCGTGAGAAGTTTCCGTGGAGGATGATCGCGAACGACGGATCGTGTGTCATCGCCCGTGCGGTGCGCCCGAGTCTGCGTTAATCCTGCGATTTAATTCCGTACGCGAGCCGCAACGGCGCGGCGTCCCTCGGACTCTGTATTTTTAGTGATATTGGCACGGTGTTGTAACGGCGCCGGTATTGGCAACGGTGAACCGCGTGGTGCGACGCGGTGACAACGCGACAACGCCTTTATAGAGGCTTCCACGAAGAAGGTGAAAAGACACTCGCGGTCTGCCCGGTGGACTCACGCCGGCCGCGAATCCGCGACCGAAATTCGCGCCGCCTCTTTCTCGCCTCTATGCTTCCGTCCTCCGCGGCCGGTTCGCCGTCGTCCAGGCGGCAGAGTTATACGTATATCGCGATTTGTTGTATGTTGGTACACAACAGCAGTGGCGTAATCAATGCGGCGTGGGTCAAAGTGCCGATGTCGATCAGTAGATGCGTCTGCGATGCCAAAGAAAAAAGGAGGAAGAATAAAGAAAAAGAAGGATGCGGATCGTTAAGTTTATCATACGTGTCAATGGCATCTTTGTTTTATGCCTTTTAGACACTCGTCACATATATTACGCGTCTTATTACTAAAATCACTATCGAACTCGATGAATTAAGAAACATAATGGGACATTGTCTAAAAGAAAATCAAGAAGTGTCCTCAAGTATCTCTAAATCGTAAGAAAAACATTATAAGAAATTTATATAAATGTAAATTGATAACACAAGTGTAAAATCTACATAATTTGTATAAATATATAAATGTTTACATAATAGGAGTACGTAATATTTGTACAATAGGAGTGTATGTATCTTCATTATAAATCATATAATGTTTACACAAATAATATACAATAATTTCGACAAAACGATTGATTATACAACATTATCGTAAATCGTATAATTTTGACAATCGTATACGATACACGATAATTAAATATGAGTTCTTACATAACGGAAATGTACATGGAGATGTTCTGTTGCAAATTGTATAATTTCTATACTTGTTCGTATAATTTTACATGCTCTTTTACTTCAGTTGAATGAAGAGATTCGCAGATACATCGATTACGCCACTGTGCTCGCAACGGCGATAGAGCAGGATGATTGCACGAACACTAAGGGCGATTATCATCGCCGATGCGACAGACGCGATTGTACAAGCCGCTTTAAATGAATCAGCGTTTAAAATTGTAATTCCCCCGGGCAATAAAACGTGTTTGTAAATACAATATCGCCTGGATATGACTCTCGCGAGACGAGACGATCGGTTGCTGGTAGCACGAAGTATAGCTATATAAAAAATATAAAGTTGGTCATTACATCAATTGGCGATTACATCAAATCTATTTTTTTATTGTTTTGCTATCTGTCCTCATATTAATGTATCTTAAACAAAATAGACGCGCAGGTACTAAAAGATTAAAAGGAAACACAAGTGTAAGAGACTACGAGAAAAAGCGCTGTTGTATGATAAAATTAATATGGTTTTTATTTCTTCGTGACGTTTATTGATTATTATCGCCATTACGAAATTTCGACGGACAAACGATATTTAAGAACGAGAAAAAGAAGATAAATATTTACGCCAAATTTATCAGTCTCATGCAAGTTGACATTTCAGTTTCTGCATCATTCGCATTCGGTATAATTTATCTCCTGCTTTGAAGACGCAGAAACAGCTTCAAAGCAAGAGATATTCTTTTTTTAAATTTCAAAATAAACGCAGCATCATAGAAATAAAATAGAAACAATACGATATAGAGGAGATGACAGAAGAGTGTAAACGGACGTCTATATACATGTCTCTTCTTTTTAATACGACGAGAAATTAGAGAATCGTACATTAAGAGACAATGCATTAGCCTGCCAAGACCGCGCCTCTCGGTACGCTCTGATTATTTTCTGCCCCAACTAATCGCACGCTCAGATCGGCGATCCTTTTCCACCGGCTCGCCGGCTTGACCGAGACCGCTTTCCGGCGAGTGTGCATCACATTTTTCAACCTTGCGCGCGTGTTACAAGAGAGAACGCGTGCGTGGCGACGAAGCGGCATTAATTCACCGAGACGTTCGCCGGCCTCTAATCCCGTCGCGGATTTTCGATCACACCACTCCGGGTTGCTGCAATCGGCACGATCGGCAAATCGACAATCGCATATACGACTCGCGTGAGCCGTTCAATTGGCGCGATCGTTAAAGCAAATCAAGTGGCATGTCGCGTTTCGCGATACCGCACCGTCGGCAAATCCCCGCCGCGTTTTTCTTCTTCTTCGACCGTATGGATAAATTAAAAAATAATTAATGCCAATTTTTTTGACGACAGCAAATTGCTCAAACTTTTGCTCAAGCGATCTCACGGGGGGGGGGGGAGGGAGGAGGGGCTCATGAATAATTGTCGGAAAATCTTTATCAAACAAATTAATGTAGATTAACGATCGGCTGAGATTCAGCGTTGAACTCGAGGCCTGACATAGCGGACGAAATTAACGGTCGCGAACTGGCGAGTGAATCAAGGACATGTATATACATATATCTGGTTCTAATTACATTCCTTGGCGCGCTGTAATGTGTAGGACACTTCATGCGTCTTGCGCATTCCGCTTTTGTTACGCGTGGTTCCGTGTATCAAATTGATGTTCCGTGAAACGGAAAAAACGGAGGAAACCGGAGCCGTCATCTGCATGTTAAGCGTTGAGTCAGTGTCAGTGATAGTTTTATATTTCATTTCCTTCAGCGCGCGTTGTCGTACGTCGTTACGAATTGTCGTGGGAATGAGTTAGAGAAATGAAAGAGGGTATAATCAAGATTAATGCGATCTAAAATAAAGAGCGAGAAACTCTCGAATTTCTCTACGAGGGAGCATTACTTCTGCCATCTAAAATCAAGATATACATTTATTCGTGAGATCCAAAATGTATACATTTTGCAAAATGCGAAATGTAGCATTGTTTTCAATTAACGCTTAAGGGGAAGAAAGGAGATTTGATCAAATTTTGAAGGCGAAATTTGCGAATTTATTTCAGGCAAAGAAATAAATGAACACAGTTCTCCATTTAGGTGTTATTTACTATTATATTTAAGATGTAGAAAATTAAGTTGTAATTAAAAATTTATTATGACATAGAAGCTTTCTGTCATTAGAGCCCGAAAATTTTTTTTAATTAACTCCAACAATTCCGCGACTTTTAAAGGACCGGATAATCAGACCGACCAGTTCGTTTTGCTTGCGCGAACGTGTGATCGGAAGGTCGTCTTCCTATATTTACTATATTTGAGATGTAGAGAATTAATTTGTAACTGCAAACTTATAAAAGATATAGAAGCTTTCTGTCATTGTTCGACCGAATATTTTTTTCACGATTCCGCGACATTTAAAGCGGAACGATTGCGCCTCCGTTTTGCTTTGCGCGAGCGCGTGATCGGAAGGTCGTCTTCCTATTCATTCCGGTTTTGTTGCAGCTCCGGACAGAGCAACGCAAGGATCAAGCCTGATGTCCGTATGGTCGACCAGCACCGGGCGCAATTCATTGTTTGGCGCGGAGAGCGGCGGGGCGGCGCTCCCCACTTCGCACTTGCCGATCCACGTACACGTGGCGCACGAACACCTGCGCAACGCTGACGGCCACTGCTTTCACAAACCGTTCCACGATCACTGTCAGGTCGGTAGACTCGCCCCATCCTGATACTCCTCCGCGGCAGCAGAGATCCTTTCCTCTTCGTCCGCTCCGCGAGTTACGCGCCTGCACATGCATACCGCATTTCTTCTCATCCTCCGCTTGTGTTGTTCTGTGCTGCTGTCGCGTTGACTATAATATCCCGCGTCGTTTTCCATTAGTGTCATTACTATTCTCGTTCCCGGTACTCGTCGATTAATTCGAACTGTTTTTTTTTATTGATTTATTGTCGGGAAATCTCGCAGATTCTGATTGGAATGCTAAAGACTACTATTTCTCATAATGGCTAAAAACGATGTGTTAGCACGTTGAAATTTCAAGTTTTAAATGATATATACGCAATACAATGATACATGTACGAAATATGTAGATATAAATCGTAAATATCCACGTTATGTTTGCAACATTCAGATAAAACATTTTTTATTTCTATATAGTGATTATGAAACATTAATTTTATTTAACTTTTTAAAATAAATAATTATATTTATCTTTATTTACCATTTGTATTTTTTTTATCAATATGCAATATTGAGAAACACTTTGTATAAAAGTAGAATTTCTAAATTAGATTCGTTTTTTATTGCAAAGAATGGATTGAATAAATAATAATGAAAGAAAAGAATTAACCAGCGGACGCAATTCACTATTTGAGAACTATCAGTATGTAATTTTTTAAATCAGTGAATCGATCTTGCTTAAAAATAAAAACATTCAATTATTTTTTATCTCTCATTTCTACGTAAAATAACGCATTAAATTCGTAAGTTTTACTATAAATCTAATTATTACGCAGTTGCAGAAATAAAAGTAAAGAAAAATTGAAATCAACTTAATTTTTAATTTATGTATAAATGTACATTTTACGTGAAAAAAAAAACGTATTTGGTTGTCAATTTTGGTACGATGTAGAGAAATTGAATTGTTTAATAGTAAGATTACAACAGAAAATCATAAAAATATACATAAGATTTCTCATGATTCTAGCATACCTAGAACTGTTTTCATTGAACTCGTAATAATAGATCCGTTTTCTTCGTATTCCTAATATCACCTAACATTACTTTAAAGCAGGAACAATACGATTTTACAGAACTGAAATAAAATTTGATATTAATATGATTGATATAAATTAATTTATTTACATATACTTTATTTCGTTGTTTTATGAAGTGTAACATAAAATACACTGCAAATTTAATTAATTTAATTAATCGATAATAGTACTAATACTGGTGTACTATTGAAAAATTATGTATGTACCAGTATAAATATTTCAATTACATATTTGACATCCAATACTAGTATAAAGGCTTGCAGCGTTATGGTATTTAAAAAAAAATAGAAGCATTGCTGATACCAGCATGTACAGTTGCTAACGAAATTATTATCGACGACGATATCGAAACCCTGCTTTAAAATAATGCTGCGCATTACTTCGAATTAGAGCATGCGGTTGGTCGATCGAGCGCCGATGCGATACCGTCAGCCTCACTTTAATCTCGTTCAACGAGCGACAGATATGTGCGTGCCTTTTTAAAATTCTCTCCACTTACGGATTATACGTTATTTTTTTTTTTCGAACACCGCTGCAACTACATCTGACTTTGAGCGCGCAATTAGTCGCATATTCTTCAATGCTTCGTTCTGCATGTGTGTTACGTACTGATAATTATCCGGATGTCGTTCGTAACGATAACGTCGTAATACCGTACTTCCCATTTTTTTTCTTCTTTCGCATGCTGCAAAGACCTGCGCACGTTACCTTCATATACTCGCAATTCACGCGGCAAAGTGGTTTCGTCGAATGAACAAAATATTTCTAATATTATCGATATATATTTGTATGTAACATTCGACTGCATGATATTAGACTGTATAAATTTTAAATTACGTTATCTTACTAATCTTTGTTATGACAAGAAAATTTATGTGCATTTATTCCTTCGCATATTTGATGTGAGCTTATTGCGATTAACAATACACAATTAGATGATAAACGTATGTACGTGTCTACAAATATGACGCAAGGCACACATTCTCACCATACATCCTCCTTTTTATTTAGTCCCCTTATTTTTATTTATATGCACCCAACGCGTATGCTTCGCCGTGTGCGCTGATCACGCGTTTGTAATTACCTGTTCATTGTTCACGAAAAAAGAATTTGACGGAAGAAACGTGAATAATTCGTGATATGTATACATACGTGGACTAATGCGACTCGCGAGCGAGCGCAGATACATGAGAAAGTGCTGCCTGTGTATATGTAACATCGAGCTGTCCAAATACACAGATTGACATTGAGTATATCTCTTTCTTAGTTCTAAAACAAACAAGAGACTGCTATCGTGTGACAAACGTGACCCTTTCTCGCTCGCCAGTCACTATTTTCAACGCGTATCAAGACGCGAGCTGATTCAATGATACGTACGTTATAGGAAAAACGACATTATTTAATCGCGTATCTTAAGTTGGTATTTACTCATGCCGTATTTATTGATGTTTAAATCCAATCGTCGGACTTGAAGATAAAAGGTTCATACGAACCTGTGTGAAGAATCGTCAATACTTCGAAAGTATTTATTTTGCACATCTTGTGCGTCAAGATGTGCTTGCAAATGCCGCAATATTTTACACACGTCGTGGGAGCAGATTGTGCTTTTTACATGTATACGCTTGTTTCATTTTGCACGCGATTTATTACATTTTCATACTTTTGCATTATCTTCCATTTAACATCTCGCTATTATAGTATCTCTCCGCCTAGCCGGAAACCTCAATCCCAAACCGCACCGAAGATCGTGAATCGAATTGAGTAACATCTTTCCGGCTATGTGAAGCATTATATAGTGTGAGTCACAATAGTAAAGTTCCGCGTTAGTGCATGCATCAGCGCGAGTGCTCCCCCGAAACGCACGCATGTTTCCGTGCGTACGTGTGTATGTACGTGTGTATATAATGTGTGCGCACATACCTCTTCTTTCTCATGCCCGCCAGACAATCCGCAAGACGCACGCAGTCGATCTCGCATCTCGTATCAGCCCGCTGCACACTTCTCGCGTTTATCCACTCTCTAAATTTTCTGGAGTGAATCTCACTCCGCGAAGGAGCGAAAATACTGTCACTCGGCCAACTTGGGTGGCAGTATTTTCACTCGGAAAAATTTAGGGAGTACGTCTTTTCATTAATTTTCCTTATTATTTGTTTTCGTTCAGCACCGATTGGTTTTTTGTCCTACTACTGCGGGACTTTTGGCAGGTTCTCCCGTTGGCACCGACGTTGCCACCGATCTCCGGTACGTTTGCCTCACTTTCTTTACTCGTGCTTAAGCTTCCACGGGGAGCTTACCCCCTCCCTTTCCCCTCCCCCGTGAGGTCGTACGATCAAGTATCGAAGGCGCTTTAAGTCATCCCTTCCTCTCCCATTACCTCTCTGTGCGAAACAACGAGAACGCGATCGCGTCCTTCCAGCCTGCAGCTGAACTAATTTGCCATCTCCGCGTTTTCGTTCTGTTCTCGCCACAGTCGACGATGTCGCAAGCGGGGGATGGCCTTCACACGCCGGGCTACTTGTCCTGGAGAAAACTGCAGCTGAGCCGCGCGAAGCTCAAGGCGTCCAGTAAGACGTCGGCCCTGCTCTCCGGTTTCGCTATGGTAAGAGAACGTCGCTCGCGGCAGTGAAACGATATTTCTTCGTCGTATTCCCGTCCAACGACAAGTTTTTATCACGATCTCTCCACATCGACGCGCGCGTCCGCATCCTCCGCGATTAATTAATCGAGATAATACCGTAATAGAGTCCGTCGTTTTGTTTTGTAATCATTACACGGAAATGAAAAAAAATTCCCCTGTGAACTGAAGAGCATAATTCCGGAAGCGATTTGTATTGTTTTCGGACTGAACGAGCTTACGCGAATATTCCTCTATAACGAATGTCGCGCAAATAGAAAAATATCCACGCGCGCGTATAAAAAATTCTAACACTTATTTAAATTTTAAATATTTTTTTAAGCAACTCGCGCAATTTTGTTGCATATTTCTCAATAAATTTTATTTCTTGATCGATTACGCGGCGAGTCCCAGATCTTTAATATTTGTGAATCTTTAGCGTTTGTTACATGTATTAGACTACGCGTTTGGAGATTGAGGATTGCGAATTAGAGATTAGAATCCGATTAAAATGAAACGAATTGAAATTAAAATTAGCCGATCGGTTAAATTCTCTAATCTTCAGTTTCAATCTTCAATCCTCAATCTCCAATAGCGTAGTGTGATACGAGCTTTAACGATAGTCTTCGGGGATAGGCAGATGATAAATACGCCGAGAGAATTTCTCCGAGAGTAGACAAAGATCGGTCACTGGTCCACAGGTTGCCATGGTGGAGGTGCAGCTGAACCCCGAGACGAGTGTCCCGCCGGAGATGATGATCGCCTTCGCCGTGTGCACGACCCTGCTCGTAGCCGTGCACATGCTGGCGCTGATGATCTCCACATGTATACTGCCGAACATCGAGGCCGTCTGCAATCTGCACAGCATAAGCCTCGTGCACGAGTCGCCGCACGAGCGTCTGCACTGGTACATCGAGGTCGCGTGGGCCTTCTCCACGCTGCTGGGCCTCCTTCTGTTTCTGCTGGAGATCGCGATACTCTGCTGGGTGAAGTTCTACGACTTCTCCCAGGTCGCCGCCTGGTCGGCCTGCATAGTACTGATACCGGTGCTGATAATCTTCCTCGCGTTTGCGATACACTTCTACCGGAGTTTGGTCGCGCACAAGTACGAGGTCACGGTGTCCGGCATACGGGAACTTGAGTTACTCAAGGAGCAGATCGAGTCCACGGACGTGGAGGGCAGGAACGGCGTGAATTTCTTGCAGACCGGCGTAACGCATATCGTTTGAATATCGGTCTACGGAATTTTTCGCCCGCCGTTTCTGAGACCGGACTCACGAATCGAGCGTGACAAGAAGAAGTTTCCGCTCCGCGGAACGCGACGGGAGAGAGAGAGAGAGAGAGAGAGAGAGAGAGAGACAAAGAGGCAGAGATCTTTTTTCATGCCGACATGCTGCATTCGACGAGCGTTTCACGGCGACATTTCTCGGAGGACTCTGCCAGAAAAGGAAGTCTTTCGAACGTGAGCCACTCGAGGAACATGACAGATGACCGCCTTCTTCACATATACACACACACACACACATACACACATACACACACGATCGGCGCACACGCGCTGCAGATGTTAGCGAAGATTCGGTCAACAGATAAGATCTTCCTCCTCTTTTTTTTTTATACGCGTGTTCTCTGTGATGTAAATTAGTACAAGCGCGATGAGACTACTCCGTACGATGCCGCGCGATGCGAAAGCGTCGCGTCGGCTTTTAAGGAAGGAGACGAAGTTCGATAACACATCGTTGTATATGTAGGCAAAAAAAAAAACACATTCCTTCATTCGCGTCGCGACTTAAAAGGTAGGAAGAATAGTATGTTTTAAGGATATTACGAGACCCGCGTGTCATCTCTGTGCGCAGCGCTCAAAAAGCGATAATATACAATAGCCTGAATTATCGAGAGAGATGACGCGACTGGCGGATGTACTCGAATGTACTTATCTTGAAAAACGTGCTTATCCGAGAAACGCAATCGACTTTACAGTTCTTAAGTGTGTTTCACGTTTATGCCAAGACATGTTTCGGCAATACACGTGCAATATACGCTCTGCTACGTAAACTCGCCGTCGGTCGAACACACGAAAGTCGATACCTTTTCTTAAATACGCAGCAATTTCTTCTTATTCTTCGGCGCGCCAGGTACATTATTCTTAAATACGTGTAATACGTGTTGCGACTGCCGTAAAAAAAAAAATAAAAAAAAAATAGGGAGCGAAATATCGGAAAAGCGGCGACTCGGATGATGACGCGATATCGCTCGAGATTATTACATTTCAACAGATTCGCGGATGAATTTCACGGGAACGTCAATATCCAATTATTGTATATATCGTTTGGCGCGCGCGCGAAACGCGTTGGGGCGCGTGGGAGCGATTGCCAAAATAAAAAAAAAAGTACGTACGTACGAAATCACAGGCACGCAATTATATTTTTCCGTTCCGTGCCGCGTGCGCGCGTGATAGGCCAGTGAAAACGCTATGCGTGTACATGTTCAGATTGATCCGAGGAGAGACGTAAATGAGGTGACCGTGACGCAACAACGCACTTACGAGCGTATCGCCGCGCGGTCGTTCGTTATCCTTGGAATGCGTAATGTCGGATCATAAAGCTGGCTGTCGGCAGTCGACGTCCTCTATCGTGCTGCTCACGCAGACGTCGTTCTCCCAACGACCCTTCTGCACTTGACGTCTGTCCGAGTGATAGAAGACGCCCCGACCTTCCCTCTTGCCATTTGCGAACTGACCCTCGTAAACGTTACCGTTTTCTACGAGGATTTTTAAGATAAAATATTTATGGGGATTTCCGAGATAAGTACGAGAGGCGCTTTGAATAATTGATTGTGATTCAACGGAGTTCACAATTTTCGCGAGCGCAAAGCGAGAGCGAGATCAAACACACAGGCTAAGGAAGATATGTATTACACTTTTTCTTCTATGTAGTACGTAATTAAAAAGAAATTGACAAACACTTTTTCAGCTAAGTCATTCTGCGAGGTGGTAAAATTTCTAGATTCCACCACGCACGTCTATTATCCTATTTTTAATAACTTTTTTATTTTTAGTTAATAACCTTGAACGAACATCCCTTCTCCGTGGTAACGATCGTTCAGCCAGATGCCCTCGTAATAACCGCTGCCGCACTTGTACCAAATCCGGCCGTAACCATTCCGCTTGTTCTCCCGGAACATGCCCTCGTAGTAACTGCCGTCCTTGTACCAATTACTTCCGAATCCGTGCCTCCGCCCCTTCGCCCAGTCACCGGCGTACACCTTGCACACGTCGCCAGCTTCTGTCATCTTACTGAGAACGCCGTAACCATGCCTCAGGTCGTTATACCAGTCACCTTCGTACATCCAGCCGTGGCTGCGAAGGAACGATTCCTAACGAAATAGCGAACGAAACATCGGCAGCTTGGATGCACGTAATCTCGCAGATAAATAAGAAATTATGTAACATTGATAGGTAGCATTGATTATGATTTTAGAATTATGTTAAATCGATATGCAAAGCAGGCGTTTTCTGCGCTTTTATATAATTGTATATATTTAACATAAAAGAAATTAATAGCGAAACAGCAACCGGAACAGTTGCTCAGAACCGTGTGTATCAAGTCTACAAAATTTATAATTCTTTTTACATTTCTTTTTGTATCTCTTACGTTATTATAATTAAAACGTAATTGCAATTTTCTTAAAAAGGAGTGTAACTTACGTTCGTCATAAAAAAAATTAATACTTTTTGTGGAAAAGATTTCACGATTATCATATTGGAAATAATTTTTTACGCGTGTTTCGCTTGCTGATGTAGAAACATTAGATGAAGCGAAATTGAGGATTGTCTAAAAGTTAAAGTTAGGCACTTCGAGGAACTTTCGGGGGGAGCATAATTTTCGTGCGACACCTGTTGACTCCTATGCCTTTGCCGTCTCTCTTATCGTTTCTCCATTCACCCTTGTAATGCGCTTTGGCAATACGTTTCGTCGCGGGGGAGTATACAGCGTGTCGCCAGCCATTTCGTTTGCAAGCCTCTATCCGCCGTTCGCACCACGTGGCTCTCTGTGGTTGCAAGAACGGCATTGCGCCGAATATCCACGAAGGAGACCTCTTAGTCTGCCATTTCGCGAGCAATCGACTATCTTCACAGATTGAAAGATCAAGAAATAAAATTGCATAATTCATGCCGCATGACGCGCTATATATTGTGGCAAAAAAAAAATGATCGTATTCGTCTACTGTATATCATACTTTTTTGTAATGAATTCTCGATACACGTGCGCATATTCTCGAGTGTATATAAGGACGTATGTTCTCGAATCTCCTATATTTTATAGAAATTTTATATTTTATCTGATAGAAAAGTCAGAAAAGTAATAGCGGTATTATTAGCGGACATTTAAATCAGCTCAAAAACTTTTAATATATCTTTCATGTTTTTATCGCTTTGTTATATATTTTTTATTTTGTAAATTAAATCCGTACTTTATGTGCTCGAAAATGTGTATAAAACTATCATTAGAATTTGAGGATATTTTTTGTATTTGTTTTGTTTTTCTTTTTCTTTTGATTCCACTTTCGTATTTAAAGACTTTCAGTTTAATTATTTTTAGAAACTTTTGGAAATAATTAAACTGAATGTGTGAACTGTACGTATGTTCCCCTCTTCTCAAAAAAAGAATCGGACATGAAAGTATTAATTTATATGTATATATGATTCATTTATAATTAATTTATCCTTAAATTACATTTCTTTTCAGTTTTCGAATAAAAAAATGAGTAATTTTATTCACGTTGATGTAATATTGAATATTATTCGACAAGCTAGTCGTTAAATTTAATCGGCAAAATTCGCTCACAGCATATCTACACAATTTATTTTATCACTCTCCTAAATTCATCATTTTCTTCTTCAGCAGCAACAGAATAATAATTCTTTCTATATACGTAAATTCCAGCGATATTTTCAGTCACATGCAATAAAGTTAATCGCCGATTAAATATGAGAGTCGTTGAATTGAATTGCGAAGTAGCGCCTGTGCGTTGCGCGTGCGCGGGATTGTTATTGCTCCGGGAGGACCGGGACTATCGGGAGTGCTCTGCGACACACAAATACAGCTGCACAGTGCACAGGTGTGTGTGTGTCCGTGCGTGTCTGAACGTCTGTGCGTAGTGGTGCGTGCGCTTGATGACTGACGATTCGTGTCCAAAGGATTGAGCGCGAAAATCCGTTCCGAGCTTCGTCTTACGTCGCGCGTCTACACGATGGACAGCGACGTCCGCGTGCTTGACGTGAGCACGGACACGATTTCCTCGGAGCCGACCGAGACGGCCTCGGAGATGGAGATGATCGAGCTGGATGCCAGTTACGACGCGGGAGCGTCGACCTCCTGCCTTATCGATGAAAATCCGACGTGCAGGACGAGGAGCGCCGGTCAAGCCTTTTCCCCGGACTCCTCGGACATCGAGATAATACATCCGCGAAGTGATTCGCAATTCGCTCAGCCGATGAACGTCGCTCCACGGCCCGTCTTTAAGGTTATGTTCCGCGACGAGAGTGTCTCGAGGTACGTTCCCGTCGTACATACATACGTTTCAGCGCTTTGTTTACAACGCGCACGCGGGTTTTTGTTCCACCTCGTTTTACAAGGACGTTCCTGACATATATATATTATATATATATGTATATGTGTGTATATAGGAATGTAAATGGTTTTATTATAAACAAGCGTTAGGTTAGGTTTTTCTGTATATGTTTTCGAGGAAGAATGTGCGAATTATATTGATGTGCAACAAACACACTAGTAAACATATAATTTATTTAAATTGTGCATAAAATATTAAACGCATGTGAATTAAATAACAAATAATATGTAAATATAATTTCATAATAGGAAATATAATTTCAAATACAAATTTGTAATTCGTGCACGCACATTAACATCAAAAGCTAAAACAATCACAATGACTAAGTTCGTAATTTTTTATCAAATCTACAATTGTATTTTATGAGATTCTCCATGACTTGTTGAAAAAGATTAATTTAATTTAACTACTCTTTTGCTTCATTTATATGTCTCTTACATGTGATATATATAATTCAAATAGTAGAAATATAGATATACGCTGATCGTCAGTGGTTTTGTTGCAAACATTAAACATATGCAAATGAAATCGTTATTATATTCATTGGATTTTTCGCGGATTATTAAATTTTGTGTATTTTGCAGGCGATATCGGCAAGAAGTGAAAGACTTTCTGCACGCTTTAGTGCAATCAAAACCATGTCTTAAAAAGAACTCAAATGAGTCAAGTCTGACTTTAGAAATTTGGGATGATGAAGTTGATTCCAAAGATGATGAGAATGCTTTGGACGACAGTGTACAATACCTTGGTTCACATGATTTTCTATTTACAATTGATAAACAACGGAATGTAAAGAATGATTTCGATATTCCGATTTATGGACAGGTAACGTCATCTTCCCTTTATTAATCTGTCTCGTTTCTCTCTTAATTAATTTTTCTTATTGTATATAGTATATTTGTATAATCGTTAATATATCTTATTTCGATTGAGGAATATCTCAATACTTTGACATTTTTTACTCTAATTTAGGAGCAAATATTATTCTATTTTTCTAAACGACATTGTTTCACCTTAGAAATATGATACATTTGAGGAATCAAAACATGAGGCATCGAAAGATTTCGTGCCAAAATTAAATTGCTTCAATTGTAATGGAAATCACAATTTGCGAGATTGTCCGAAGCCTAAAAATCAAAATAATATCAATAAGAATCGTAAGGAGTTTGCTATGAAGTACAGCGCGGGAGTCCGATATCACATGAGTGAGGATCAAAGATTTAGTCATATGGTTCCCGGTCAGATGAGCCCAAAACTACAAAAGGCACTTGGACTGAAAGACAATCAACTACCTAAGCACATATATAGGTGCGACATAATTACATAATTTATAGGATCTTGGGGAAAATGCTCCTTCATATTGCTCGGTGTATTTATATCTGTCTATTTCTATTATCGATAATAACTTTCTTAGAATTTTAATATCACACTTGCTGTTTCCAAGTTGACGTGATAATGTTTTGAGATCTGTTGTTATTGTTGTTATTGCTGCAAACGCACGTGTGTTTACACGAAATTAATTAATGTGAAATTAAAAGAAAAGATTTATTATTCTCAATTTAATGAGCCAATGAGGTTCATTCTACGTGCCAAAACATGTTTTTTCTTAGAATGAGATTACTTGGCTACCCTCCAGGGTGGTTGGAAGAGGCGCGCTTACAACATTCTGGCTTATCACTGTTCAATTCCGATGGAGTAGCGGAGAGTGATATAAACAAGGAAGAAGGTGAAATCATTATGGACGTGGATAAAGATCGATACGATATAAAGAAGATATATGATTTCCCTGGTTTCAACGTGCCGCCTTCTCCTGGTACCATAGAAGTAAGTAACGTACGGTAAAATAATCGATGTTGATACATAATTTTGTAGTTTACAATGTTTTTGTTTTATTGAAAATCGCGAGCATTAAAATCTGTCTGATTGCAGGAAAGCCACAAGTATCGGGTACCGCAGATGCAACTTGGGCATAGCAAACAGATGATGTTGTTGCACTTGCAAGGTAAAGAAGCAGACGATGGCTACAAACGGAAAAAACTGATATTACCTCCGCCAGTAAATAATGTAGAAATTGTAAATAATGTAACAATCAGTGATATGGAAATAGAAGATACATTAGAAGGTATAATTATTAATCGCATTAAAACAAATAGTGTCATTATTTTTAATGCAATTTTACTTGAGGGTGCGTTTCATTTAACGCTCGCAACGCTCTTGGAATCATTTCATCCTTGTTGGTTAAAGAAGAACAAGTAATGCTTGCGAACGTTAAACGGAACGCAGCTCAGAAAGAGAATTACTATGTGAGAAGCGATTAAGAATCATTTCAACATTAAGTTCATACGAATAGTGTATATCGATTCGCTTTTCTTACTTTTTATGAAAATAAAAGTTTATTCCTTTTTATTTTCATTGAAGAAAATGCTATGGAGAATGTGTCTGTTAACGGGCACTTTGTACCACCGTTACCGAAAGAATCGGTGCAACAGCCACTACCACCACCACCGCCGGCGGAGTTACCTCAAACACCAACAGACGATTTAAATTCGCAGTCGCGAGAATTGATGTCCTCCGATTCTGCGGTATGTCTTCAAATAACTATTTTCTAATTACTGTATTCTTAAGCGTCTTAACTTACAAAAGCGGCATCTCCTTTTCAGGACGACACTACTTCGACCTCAAATTCGCCATCCTTGATTGAATTAGAGAGAACGAAGGAAGCATTACTTATGGAAATCGAAGAGACCAATTCGCAGTCTAATTCTGACTCTATGTCAGCTAAAAACGATTCGAGTACTGTGTCTGCGTCGGAAACGCCATTCTCCAGTATTACGGCTACGCCTTCTACCTCGAGAGCTTCTCCAAATGAAGATTCCGCGAAGTCGGATTTACAGGGCTGTCCTGATACGCCAGTTGACTTTAACACCACGATCGCATTGGACACGTCAGTTTCCGATAGACTGCCTCAATCCAATTCTACTCCAATTCGTTCTACTTTGAATAACTCTTTGAATACAAGTCAAGCTTCTGTCAAGTCGGTACACTTAGGTACACCAATATTGCCTAGTACCTCTCCATACAGTAAACTGCCAACATCAGAAAAATTTTCCAAGGACATTTGCGACGTCATCAACTTCGAAAATTTACCTGACTCAACGGGCAAGTATGAACAAATGTCGGGAGTCTTGCAAAAGGTTAGAAGCACTATGGCAAGGCTACACCAATAGATATAAATCGATTATTTATATTAGATACAGAATATTTAGATATGCGAAGATCAATGAGATATGATAGTTCAGACTATTAGGAGAAAATAATAAGACACGACTTAAAAATTATTTGTTTTCTTACTTTCCTTTTTTTCTAATTCAATTTGAAAGAAGATAGTGTCAAAGACATTGATATCTCATTGTAAATAGATATTTTTGAGTATCTCTATAAGATTGATTTGTTCATGGACAATTACCTAAAGATCTCAAACAGTAGCTGGTAAGCTAAATTACGATTCATTGGTAGTTCAAATCATGATTCAGAGGTTGATACAAAGGGATTCTCTATCTCATATTTCTCTTTGAGCTTCTCAAAAATTCTTTTTCTTTAATAATTGTAAGATAATATATTTTTTCAGACTTCTCTAAGCTACTGTTCAAACAAATTGAATTATACTTAAAATGCTGTTCATCTTTTCGAATTTTTGACATAAAATTTTAGAGTAACGTTCCTGAGATATTTACAAGGTATCTTTGAACTCAGTGCCAAAACAACGGCTTAGCACATGAAAACAAGTCGAGAATGCCTAATAAATATATATCCGATTTTGAACAGTTTCGGAATTATGGATTCTTAAAATTGCTTTTGTAAGAAAGCATGAACATGTTGCTTAAATATTTTAGTTTTGGAAGTTGTGTTCAGAGACACCTTGTTAGGAAATATTTTGAAACAATCAACTTTTTCCCTCTAGACGTACATGCTTTCTTTCTTAAGAGAACAACTTTATTCTCAAACCATAAGAATTTTTTTTGTTACTTTCTGATTTCCATCTTTTTATTTCAATATTTCTCTATAAATTCTCAAGATCAGACTTAATGTGCATATCTTATGATAAGATTAAGAGATCTTTCTTTGTATTCTCCTTGTCTGTTCGACTTCATTGCTTAAAATCAGAAAGCAAATGTCAACTTCTTTTATTCTCTAGTGTGCGAGTTGCGTGACAACGAATATTTGAGATCTTTGAAATATACATATTGTAATTGATAAAATAATGTAAAAAGAATCAGCATTTCTACAACTTCAATTTAATTTTTTTTGTATTTCTACATACATTCTAGTCTGCTGTATATTTCAATATTATTTCAATAAGAATGCTACTTGTTTATAGAAATACAGCGGCGTATCTAACTTTTGAACAGAGATTGAAAAGTATCATATGTAATTGAACGCAGAATGTCTTTTATTTATTGTGAATTGACAAAATTTCAATCGATTATAAAAATGCTTTCACAAGTTCTTACAAATTCGCAAGACTGTACATGTCTCATACATGATTCTTGATTACATGATTCACACATTTAGGCATTATTCAATTTACTATATATGTTTATACGTATATAATATATATAACTATATAATATATATTAGCTATATACATAATATATAACAATATTTTATACGTGTAAATATACATATATAATATTAAAGAATCATAGAGAAATTACTGTCATCTTCCAAAAGTACAAAAACGTAGGTACAAGATTTTCGTCGCAGTTATTGTCAAATGTAACTGTGATGTTCATTTTACTTTTTTGTATTGTCTTATAATTCAAATCTGTTTTCTACATATGCACATTAATCTTAATTGGACATACGAGGAGCTCTACTTGTGCAATATATTTTGTACATGTTGAGGTAATGTAAGAGAAATACTCAACTGTGATTTATAAAAAACTAATCTTTACATTTATAAAAATTATTTTTTACAAATATATATGTACATATATACATATATATTTGTATGACAGGAAAGAAAATAGTTTTTGAAGAATTGAAGACAATGACATTGAAAAATGCAAATTGCTAAGTATTTTTTATTGTAATGCAAAATATTCAAGCATTTGAAATATAAGTTTTAAATTTCAAACTAATTGCGTAATTTCGATTATCAAATATACCAATTTTTGTATTATGTTAATGCAAGAAATTTTCTTATACATATATATAATATCTTAGTTTTCTCTATTAACAAAATATATATTAATCATCTGCAATTATTTCAACAAGTATCCACCAGCATTTTTTATAAATATAGATACGATAATTTTTTGCTAATGTACGATTTTCTATTTTGCTCGGAAATGTACCTGGAATTTCCGAAGTATAAATAAAATGAGAGATAAATAACTAAGATAAATATTGAATATACTAACGTTGTACAAAAATAAGTATATGTAACTATAGAGTTTTTATCTAAAATAAAATTATTTTGTAATGAACATATGCATAATCAATTGTGTGCATCGAATTATACGAAAATTGATTCCTTTATATAAATATATTATGTCCCATGTTATTTTATTTTATTTTATTTTTTTATAAAATCTTGTGTTAACACTATTTATAATGAACATAAACGGCCATTTTATGCAATGCGGAGAAACTGTTTTATTATCGAAAATATGGGGAATGTACAACGTTAAACAACATGGTTATTAGTATAAAACATTTTATCATAGACCATATTCATTACGAGAAAATTGTGTAATACCATTAATAAATCGTTATTTGTATATACCTTTAAATCTATAACTTTTAATTTGTGTAAAACGTCCGATGTGTGACAAAATATCTCCACTTTGTTTGAATGATATATGTGTATCGAAATATATTATAAAACTATAAGTATCTTCTTCTTTATGGATAACAAAATTTCACTTTTAAATATTATAATCATATATCAATTTTATTTCAACGAAAAAAAAAGACGCACGTCCATCTTTTTTTTTATAATCACGTTACAAAAAAATATAAATACTGATTCTTGACAAACCACACAAGAGATCCGAAATTCTCAATTATCATACATTATCTATTGTGGTATTATTTACAGCAGATAATTGTACATTCGGTAATCATATGTGGGAGATTCTTTACGCAATAAATAATTTTTTTTTGTGATTTTAAGTAGATATCGAGTAAATAATTTTTCGAATATAAATACCAAGTAAATAATTTCACTTAAATGACTATACATTCGCAGGTACTTAATCTTTTTTTATCATTTTTACGGTAAAGATTTTAAATTATATTTGCATGCAATATACTCTTATTATCGCGGGTTCTGTCACATTGTTTACTGCAATCCGCATTACGAGAGGCGAACACGTCAAAACGCCATAGATCTTTTATAAGTCTGTTTTCTATTCCCGTGCTACTGAACTGTACTAGAACTTTCTTTCTCACTTTTGCTAGATATCAAACGTATACATATTTCATTTTAAGAGCAAAGAGTGTACATTAGTTCGGCTACATTAGTTATAGAAAACAGACCATATGTTTGTGATGTAATCGTTGAACTTCATTAGTATCTTTTTCAGAAAGGTGTGACAAAAATATTTTATATTATATTCGTACACGTGATCCAGGCACGTGATTATAAGAGTTTAAAAAGAAAGAAGATACGCGTGTTAAAATCGTGTAAAATTGCGATTACCAATATGTAAGGAAGTTACGCTTCCAAAGAAACAAACTGTGATGTATCCCGCTAACGCGTACATTCATGGGCGTATCTAGAATTTTTTTTCGAGAGGGAAGGGTTATCAATCCTGTTAACGCATAAAAATAGCAATTTTTGCATTAATGAATTGAATAATCGTAATGGACAGAAAATAATATTTTATGTGATAACAAAAAATTTGTCCAGAGTCAAAAGTAAAATTGTATTTTATAATTAAAAATGAAAAAATAAATAAAAATTTCGAGGGCGGGGGAATTTAAACTCCCCAAACCCCGACCCCCTTGGATACGCCCATGTGTACATTACGTTTATCAATATCGTATATCCTATATATCATAACTTCTCCTATTTCTGTTATAAGTTTACCACGAATCGTGATATATAAAATTTCGGATAACAAGAATCCCGACGACGTTGCACTGCACTATTTAATTCATCGTTGGCGGCGGAGGCGGACCATCTCCGTGTGAACCCTATACAAAAGAAAGTATGCTCAAAATACGTCTTCCGAGTTTTCATCGGTAATATGCACAATCGAGGCACACTCACGGGCTCATTATTGCTCTTGATGACGTTGTCGGTCGAGTGTCGTAGAGATCTTGGTCTAAATGCGTACAGGAGAACGATGAAGCCAATAATTAAGCAAGTAAAGAGGAAATCTGAAGGTTCCCGAACGTTCGTCTGCGGCCCTGGAACTAGAAGAGGAATATTTATTTTTCTTTCTCTTTTTGAGAAGTAATTGCAATTCAGTATTATCTATCGTAATACACATAAACTCGTATCTGAAACTTTTCTTTGTTTTCAGTTCTGGAAAGAAATCACGGACTTTAAGCTAAAATTAATCTTGACCGGATACGTTAATGAAATCGATATAAGAGACAATTCGATCAGTGTAATGTATCTTGTAATTAAAAGTATTTTGGTGATAAATACGTACATCTAGAAACGTTGAAGCACTCGGTATCCGAACAATAATCCTGGGACTGTCGTAACTGTAACAGTAATACAATTTATGGAGAAATTTACTTTTTATTTGCAAAATACGCGCAGTCAGGCAAATAACTATATGACTAATTGCTGCAGATGTTCGTCGACGAATGTAAGTGCGCTAAATATGTGAAGATATATAACTGTATATTGTTAAGATTTTGGATTTGACCTTTGTGTGTGAGAGTGTACGCGTCTACGTACGCGTTTACATATATATACAATACATAGATATTACATACATATCGCTCATTCGCTACAACGACATGAGTAAAAATAAATCATTTTAGTTATGCTTGCAGAAAGAGAACGGAAGCAAAAAGAAAAAAAAGAAAGAACATACTTTAAAAGCACATTTCATTTCTTAACAATCAGCTATTAAAATTGTAAATTTCAAAATTGATATAAAATTTTAATGATTCAAAACTTTGTTTTTTGTTTTAATTGTGTCGTTGTTAGCAGTAAAAGCGATATATATCGATACATTTACGTGTCTCGTAAAAGCCATGTTCATACTTTGACTTTTCCCACGAAAAGCTTTTTTTTCTTATAACGAGAAGTATCCCCGTCAACGGAATGCGTACTCAATGGTCGAGAACGAACTTATCCGGAGGTGAACAGGTCTTCCTTTTTTTTTTTCACTCGAATCTCTACAAATTCGATGTCCTCATATTCGATTCGTGTAATGTATCGTGCATCGGCAATCGACTTACGTAATTTGAAACATTTTTACGTAACCGGCGCGTGGCGCAACGAATATCTGCCAGCTAAACAGAAGAGGTCATTGCGTTACAGGTCGTAGACCAAGAAACGGGGAAAGCCTCGTTTCGTTGCCTCGGTTTAAAGAGACCCAAACGCTCGCGGAAAAAAAAAAGAAAAAATAATAATAATAATAACGAAGGAAAAGGAGGCACGTCCTTCGTCGCCGCCCATTGTCCGCGACCGCAATCTTATCGCGACATCGATCTGACGGACTCGCGCGCGTCACATTTTCTCTCACTCGTATTACTTACAATAGAAAGCAGATGTTGCACGGACATGTAATTCCACATGCACTCGCACGGGTCGAATCCTTCGTCGCTCATCGTGGTATAGGCTGGGGGGAGAGACCTTACGCAGAGAATCCGCCGCTGCACGACAATTAAGAAAATGCCTTGATTATTGGACACCTTGATTATTAGACGTCAACCGTTTCTTTCTCACGAGCGCGGAACGTGTAACATATGCGTTTTCTCCGCCGCGCGCTCCGAACGTACCGCTTTTCGTCACCGATAATCTGCAAAACGGCGCGATTTGTTTCTACTTTAACGTTACGACCGATTACTTTTATTAAACACGGCGCAATATACTGACGTTGCAAGAAGAAAAAACAAAGAAAGAGGCGAAAGACTCACCAAACAGTGCATTTCAGCAATTCTTACAAATTCGTGCGCAATTACACGAAGTAAGTCAGCGTGGAATTTCGGAGAATTACATAATTAAGTATTACAAAACGTAAACGATTGATTTTTTTCTGTATATTTAATAACTGAATGTTAGAAAACGTTCGATTGATTAAAAGCGAATTTAGATTCCAAGTAAGATGTATATTTTTTTATTTTTGTAAAAAAAAATGACGGCTAAATTCGAAAATTTTTGCATTGTCAATTGTCATAATTTCAAGGACGTGCCGTATATCAAGCGGGCAATTATTCGCATTTGTGCGGACGAGGAGGAGGAAGTACCTGACTTCTTATCTTGGTGATACGACAAGCGCGGTTGTTACACATTTCAAAATATCTCACGAATGCGACATAAACGTTGCGAACTTACGCTGCAAACTAGATTATCGGTGCAATTGCTAGAAGTACCGTTTATATCTTGCACTAACCGCGTTACACTTTAGGTACATATTCGGCAAAAATATTTCTTCCAATAACAGAGACGTTATGTCGCTTTATTTTCAATCGGGAATATGTTTATTTGATAACTCATACGTTTAGTTATTTAACAATTACATGCTTGTTTGACGACTTATATGTTTATTTATTTACGTAATACTTATATGTTTATTTATTTATTTAATACTTTGCCACGTCACCCATGTTTGAGTAACGCATACATTTTCGCAATTCATTCGTAACGGTTTAATTTTTACCCAATTGATTTTATTAAGTATTTAAGACATTAAAAAAGAAACAATATAAAATATATTAAAATTTATTAAGATCAATATCGAAATCAGTTTGGCAGATAACATGTTGATTTATTTGAGAACAATACCGCCTTGCGTGGAAGATAAAAGTGGAAAATTTGTTCGCTTCAGTTTGTAGCAGAAAAATCGATTATTCGAATGTTCTTCGATTTTTGAACATTAGGATACTATGTGTTTAAACTCGCAATAAATTGATTAAATCTATTATAACACCGATTCTCATAATTTCAAGGACATTGCATATAACGCGAAATTATCTTTTTAATTTAATATACTTTAATTTTAATTAAATTTATTGTAAAATAAATTATTGCCTTATTATACTTTAAATTCATATTTTTAACAAAATATATAATGTAAATTTTAAAAAATTTATAAAAAATAATGTTGCTATTATAATAGTATAAAATTTTATTATCTTGAAAGTTTAAAAAGTTTAGAAAGTTTTAAAGAAAAGAATCCGCCTCCTCGCGAGAATGTCCGAAGGAAGTCTTACATCACGGAAGTAGTAAAAAAATGTAGATTATAAATAATGAGAAAATCATGAGAACATCGATATTTACACGTGAATTACTGACTGCGATACGTAACATTAATTTGCAGCGCGCATTAGAGTAATAAACAAACGATACCAATCTTAGCGAACGTCAGCTGAGAATCGCAAAACAGAATGCGCAAATGCTCGTTGATAGCTTAATTTTTTCCCTGTTTTATTAAATGTAAAATATTAATTTTAATCTTGATTCAATTACTATTTTCTTTAAATTTAATTACTGTTTTCCTTTTCTAGTTCTGGGAATTAAGGAAAATGAAAAATCAATTGATCGAAGATTAAAATTAATCAACGCTGAAATTAGAGAAATGGAGCATTAATCGTGTCGCAAATTGAACGAAACAGCGCAAAGTGCAAGAATACAGATTGCCGTTACTCGTGGCATCGTCGGGAAGGAATTCTTTAAAGCGGAACCTCGTTTACGCAACGCGGCCGTTGGAAACTTGTTACGATATTTCCGCGTGCATATCGAGCGAACGAGCGATCCGTTCCGGAATTTTTCTCGTCTCCGCAGCGCGCGGCATCGTGCTGTCACAGTTCACGGTGACTGCTGAACGACGGCATGCGGAAGGGGCGAGGAGGGGGAGGGGTCATACACAGCTGACACAACTGAAAGGATCGGCGGGCGACGATCGTCGCGATTTTCCGCCGCGCGGTCCACGCCTCCGCGTTTTCTCCGCCGGCGCGAGAGAGCGATATCCCCGCGGCGATCCGCGAGCGATGCCACGGAGAGAGAAAGACCCAAGGTCCGTCCGTCTCTCGCGTCCGTATGGTGACGATCGACGGGCGCGTCGCGCGCGCGAGCGAGCGATAGACGGCGCTCTGAAAGCGCCGTCGAACGGGAAGTCGCGAGATGACGGAACATCGCGATTTATCGCAATCGACACTATCGTCGCACGCGCGAAGAAAGAAAAGGAAAAAAATAAGAGATAAAGACGCGAGATCGAGACGACGCACGACGCACGCAATTCGACGTCGTCGAACGGGAGCGCCCGTCGAGAGAGATTGTTACTCACCGTCGTCGGCCGAGAAGAACGGGGAACGGACGGAAGAGCCGGATCACGACTGCGTGACGCGAGGACACCGCTTCGACAGCTTCGGGCAACTCGGACGACTTACGCTCGACCCGTTTCAACCATCACGAATCCGCACGAATACGAATCGTCGTCCTCGCCGTCGTCGCCTTCGCTCGTTGTTTCGTGTATGTGTACGTACGGAAACCGCGGAGCACATACGTTCGCAGCCGTGCATTCGTGACCGCGCGGGATTGGCGCGCGGTCGACCAATCGGTGAGGGCGGCGCGATAATTTCAAACCTGCGACACGCGTTCGCGGGCGATCTTTTCGAGCTGTCATTTAGAATGTTTCTCGCCCTTTGGAAATGGAACAGAATTCTTCTTTAAAAAAATTTTTTTTTTTACTAAAACAAAATTTTTTAATGAAAGTTTGATTATTCTTTTCTTCGTACAGATTGTATGGAAGAGATTTATAAAACGCTATTAAGCCCGTATCAGACTAAAGATTGAGATTGAGATTGGATTGGGATTTAATTAATTAGAAGAAAGAAAACTTATCTCAAATTTACTTTGAACTTTGATCAATAAAATTCCAATTTCAATTTCAATCATTAGTCTGATACGGGCTTTATGCGTTTAATAATATGCCTGATAATTTTTAGCGTTTTTGAACCGCTGTTTATGTGAAAAATTTCGTTTTTTGCGTGTCATAAAAAGAATGACATTTTTTTTTTTTTTTTTTTAATAAGAGTTTTATTATTCTCTACTTTATAGCAAGGAAGATAATTTATAAAACGCAATTATGCGTGCAATGTATGTTTTGCAGGTCGACGATGCATCGAGTGTTACTTCTATCGTTTTAAATAATCTATATGATAAACTATAAAGCAATAATTTCTTGAGCCTGAAGAAATTAAGCTGAGAGAAATTAAGCTTAATCTCAAGCTGAGATCCCAAAAGAAATGACATGCCCCTTTTCCTACAAACTATTTTATATTTCTCAATTGCATGTTGTATCACAAAAATAATCGATGATTTTATACAAGTCTGTGAATGATTAATTGATGATCGATAGATTGAGAATTGATTTATCATTAACGAGAAGTTAAATTAAACAGAGAAACACGTTATAAATAATCGTAAAGATTGTTGAATAAGATAAAAACGCATTTAACAGTTTAACGGCTATTCATCATCAAGAAAAACAATAAGTCAGTTATGAATTGATAATACAATAAAATTAATGATTGCCATTATTATTCGAATGCAAATTTCATTGCAGCTGACAAGTTGTAAATACATAGAATTATTACTCTGTATGTGTATGTGCGTATTAGTACAAGAAATAGAAATTTTAGATTTTTAGCAGAAATATTTTTTCAAATCTTTAAAACATTCTTTAACAAACATTTCTCACTGTCTTTTAATATTTTCCTTGAACTTTCACCTTGTAATCCGGGAAAATCCGTTGTTGTTTGTTTCATTGCACGAGGGTAAATACCATATTTTAAAATTAATTCTTTAATTGGAAATCCCTATCTAATTCCAAACATTTTTATAATAATTGAATACATGTATGTATGTGTGTGTGTTTACAGACATTTGCCACCGTTATCGAAAGAATAAACGAGACTTTAATAGCATTAAATATAAATATAATTTTCAGTTTGGTTTCTACTTTATTAAAAGCAAATTGCATATGCAAAAACATTAAAACATATATAATGTATTATCTCCTTTTCCTTCTTCTTTCTTATAGACTTCTTATCATCTATAAAATGCAATATCATGTTTTCTATTATCTATTAAAAACACACTCGAGTGATCATCTCACTTGAATAGAAGATTTATTACTGATCGTGTAAAAATCTCTTCGGTTTTAAGATTTTACATATGTTGCATTAAATTTTCTATTCTCAGCTGATGCAATTTTTTAATGTTGTCACTTTTTTAAAAGAAATAAGTACGAATAAAATAAGCTAGATTATGAGTAAAATATTTCTTCATGTACGTATCTTTTATGTAAATTAATTTTTGTTTTATTAATATATATATATATATATATATATATTACATATTAATTAATATAAATTTTTATTGATACATATATAAATTGTATTATATATATATATACATATAAATTTTATATATATATAATATACATGCATGTGTGCATTAATACAATGTTTTTTGTACTCCTTCTTTTTGAAAAGAGACTTATTATCGATGTCGTGCGTAGAATTTCCCATCGAGCGATAACGCGCGCGCGCGCGCGTGTTCAACGATAGGTCGCGGCCGCGACCCCACGTGACCGTGGCGCTATATACGCGCCGACGGGCGCTAAAATTCGCCACTCGCTCTTTCGATCCTTTGCGACGAGGTTCCCCTGTTTGTGCTAGAAGAAATATTACCGCATCCCCCCGTTCTGCATTTCCGTCTCTCTTCTCTTCTCTCTTCTCCTCTCTCAAGCTCCGACCCGGTGCCCGTTCGTTTGATCCCGCGGGAGAACGGAGCGCGAATTTCCCTCCCCGAACACAGTATCGCGCTCTTCCGCCGAAAGTAACTCGCGGCGGGGATGCACGCCGCGTGTTTGGAGCGCGTCTCGAAACTCGCGGTTTGCCTCTAAACGCGCCCTTTCGCGACCCTGCTTCCCCCCCTTTCGTTCCACCTGCCCGAAGATCGGCCGTGTCGGAATGCGCGAGGACTCTCGCGAGTAGCGAGCGACGCGAGTGACTCGCGCGAATCGCCTGGATTCGAACGCGCGTTTCTTCCGCGCGGATAAGAGAAAAAAAATCGCTTCGTCTCCTCTACGTAACGTAACGCGCGGGAGGAAGGAGTAGCCTCTTTCTTAGAATTCGGCGCGGGAGGAACGCAGGGGAGAGCAGCGGCGAGGGCGCGGTGGGAAGAAAGGAAGCAAGGAAGGAACGACGACCGCGCTAATCGGGCATGGGTCTGACGGATACCAGTTTCGAGCTACTTCTGACCCTGTGGCGAGTCTTCGTCGTGGGAGTCCTGCCGTGGACCGAGGAGCCGCGCGGTCAGTGTCGCGGTGTCTCGTCGAGCTGCAACATTCACGGCGACGCCGTCGCTCGTTAGTCATCTTCGGCGCGACGCTCGGTAAGTACACGCGTGTCACTCCCGCGTAACTCTCTCGCGTCTTTCTCGTCTCTCGGTCGACGCGGAAAAACTCGCCCGCTCGCGCGGATGGAGCCGAGGCCGAGAACGGGCCCGTCGTCCCCGACGGGCGTCGGTGGCGAGGGGTCTGCAACCTTCGCGAGCGGTAATTATAATTCTTTATTGTTTTTTCTTTAGAAAAGAAATATTTTTTTTTCTCAGAGCAGAAAAAGAAAGAATAAAAATATTGTATTACAGTTGTATATATTTTAAATACACACAACTCATTATTTCTATTTTTAGATCATTTATTTTATATTCTGATAATTTGATAACGCCGCGAATTTTTGAAGAGCGTCGTGTATGTATGTTTATACAATTAAAAAATGTGTAGGTTCCATATTCCTCGATCCGCGCCATTTTTCACGTTTATCGTAATTTTTCGCATCATAGACACGCATCTAGATTTTATTAGAGCCGTAAAGTAATTTTAGGACTTTCCGGGGAATTGTTATATAGCATCAGATCTATATCTGCGCGTTTCCGATAGATCGTAAAATCAAAGCGTTGACACGTCGAATACTTTACGATTTCATCGTTTACGAACACGATACTGCACTTCCTCTACGTTTCGCTGTAAATCAATTATTTTCCACAATTTTTAGTTTTATCCGGCTAACGTTGTATCAATAGTTTTTTACACTTAACAAATTTCATATAGCAATATTATTATTCTTTCAAACATAATTTTGCCATTCAATGGTTTTGTATTTTAGCGCCTCCTTTTTTAATTATCTACATTTTTATGGGCTGTATTTTTTGATTTAGAAAAATCAGTATTTATATGTGATCGGACAATTTGATGAAAAGTGAACTTTTCAAGGTTTTTTGAAAATAAAGGAATTACAATTAAATTTAAAAAAACAAAGATTTTAATATTAAAAAATTGTAATAAATATTGACTGTGCTGTAAATTTTTAAGTAATAATAATTTTTAACTCATATTGATACAGACATAAAATAAAAAGTTTAAAATATACAAATATTATACATAAATAAAATAAATTTAAAGTGTAGCCCTTTATGTGCCGTTTTACTTCGAAATAACATTTATCTCATATAAAATATATCTATCACTTACAATAGTGTTAATAAAATAAGAAATATTCCAATGCGTGTTTTATTATATTACAAAAAGGATCTTAATCAAACAATATTCATTGCACGCGTTGTCCTAATGTGGCTAGGAAGAGAGATTTTAAAGGTCAATAGAATAATGCAAAATGTCAATGACGCTTTGTCTTAAGTATTCGAGTCATATCTGAATAGCCGAACAACGGCTTTCATCTTCACACCTTGCGGAATGCTTCCCGCGCTTCCTCGAAACGCCCATTGAAGGAAATCAACAACTGTGATGAAGATGCGTTTCCTCGAGATGAAACGATTATTCATCATTCGCGACACGTTGACGTCCGAACTGATCGAGTGTCGTATCTCAAAGATTCGATTGCCCGCGGTTAAAGGAAAATCTAATTAATGTAACGTTCTCGTAATTCTCGGGGAAACTCCGCCCCGGGGGAAACTCCCCACCCGAGAATTCGTCGTTAGATTCTTCGGATCCGACGAATCCTCCTCTCCCACTGTTCCGACATTATTCTATCGCGTTCTCGCGTAAGCCGTCGTTTGAATGAATATTTGAGACCGGATCGCGGCTCGCGAGTAGTTAGTCCGCCGTCGCAATTCGCGCCCGAATGACCGGCCGCGCCGATCGCGCGAGCATTTCGGGTTTTCCCTCGGCGAAGGAATTCGCCGAAGAAGAAAGCGAAAGAGGCTGCCTTTGCATATAGACTCAGGACGATGGAAGGCCGTCTCGGTAGGTTTCTTCTTCTTTTTTCTTTTCACGTAGCTTCAGATGGCAAGGAATCCCTACCACGTATAGAGTTTGTATTTTATTTTGAGACGAGGGCACAAAGATATCGTCATTTGATTCGTACGATTTGATAGATTTTTTATGGTTCGGAATGAAAACATTGGATACGAGAAATCTGGCGGATAGAATAAAAAAAATAAATCTCCTTTCTCATTGCGAAATTTTCTGTCGACGCGAAGAACGTAACGCAACGAATATTGTAGCTAAAATAAAGAGAGAAACTGTGTCTTTTCTATTTCTGTTTCTTTTTTAAATAAAATTAAAGATATCTTCTGTAAAATATGTCCTATAAATAATATCTAGAAACAGATACGACTACAGATATCTCATAGTGAAAGAGCTAATGAAAATCGTATGACATGTGTAAAGGTCACTTCATGATTCACTTCGATACTTCATATCATTTTAAATGAGTCGACATCAACTAGACATGAAAAAAAAATTTATTAACTATGCCATTTTTATGGCTCTCATATTTGTTTACATTATAATATGTTATAATATATTATAGCATATTCTAAGCAATTTCTGACTATTTATAAAGATTACATATTGAACTGATTTGCGGATTAAGCAATCATTGCGTGGGATTTCGAATTTACATCGCAGATGAGAGTTAGAGTTGCAAAATTATGGCAAGGTGTTACACCAAGTGAAAAAACTTACAAACTTGTATTTTTATATCACCACATTTATATTTTTGGCAGATGTTTAGGATAAAAATGTATCTGACTGATTTAAAAGAATATTAATGTTTATTGTGCAAGACGTAGATATATAAATATTTTTCACTTTAAATTAACATTTTTCTGAATATTTATAGAGATTATTGCGACGCAGAGAAATACTCGCTGCATGTGTTGTCGCTACGCGTATAAAAGATTTTGTATCAACAATTGAAGTTTGGAATTTGTCTATGTATTCACGAGTATATACGTTTTTGTTATTGTGAATGATTAAATATTACATACATATTCATCTCTAAGTTACGTCATCTCAGAAAGATACATTTTATACAAATGTCATTAAAAAATCTCTGGCTATCTTTCCAAAGGCAAATGTTAAATTAGAAATAAACAATGTTTATCTAATATCAAATATTTTCTGCCGATAATCACTAAATCAAAACAAACGTCGCGTATCTTTCTTTAATAACGGGAAAATATATCCCGTAATATTAATAATTTCATATCTTTTTCTGTCTATATAAAAGAAATTAATATTCTTCAGACTCTAAATTTGATCCATGAACAGTTGCTATGGAACCATTTTAAAAGTAATTGGAAATATAAAAGTTAACGAAATTTCCTATGTGAGAATTACTTATTTTCCATAAATTCAAATTTTAGTATATGATGAATTTAATATTGAGAAATAAGTGTAAAATTTTATATATCTATATTATTTTGAAAATTATATACATATATTACATATCAATTTATCAAAAATAAATATAAATTTCTTGATAATTAATTTTTACCAGCGTATTATTTTATTACTTTATTTACTTTGCATACAGTTCTTTAGAGTACAGCTGGTATAGTTATCGCTTCGCGAATGATTAATTATCCGTTTGCTTTCTTCAATTGCTTCAATTACGGGAAAAACTGATACGCGATGTTTGTTTTGATTTAGTGGCTATTGGCAGAAAATAATTAATAATAGTCACACGAGCTAATTATTATTAAGAGTGATTATTGTTATATAATAAACTAATCTTAAACATTTATGTGCATCGTTAAAGTTTAATATTTTTGCGAAATGAAAAATAAGAATAATTTTGCAGACAGAGAATAGTTAACTTTGAATTTACGAAATGTTGCCTCTACGAAAGAAAACAGAGTATGTCGTAGAAAATAAAAATTAGAAATCCGATTCTTCTTACATCAAAATTTTCCAGTCTATTTTAATTCTCCTCTACGGTTTTTAAGAATTATTATTGATAATAATTCTAAATTCTGAATAAAAATCTTATGAAACAAGAAATCTCTGATGTTCTAAGAGAGGCCGCGCTGTATTAGTCAAAGTGGAAAACAAGACCTGTCTTGCGTTAACGCAAGAATTAAGGCGTGTCTAGTTTAAACGTGTGACAGAAAAAACGTAGTAATCGTATCAAAAAAAAAGAACGTGAAATCTCGACGATTCATTCCGCGCGTCATTGTGGTTCTCCTATTTGTCCTCCGTGTGTGCGTATGCACTTGCGGGTATATATTACCATTTGCGGTTCGCTTATTATATCTTTGCAATCCGATCGCGATTATGGTTGTTAATTCATACCTCCTTGGACAGCGATTCGAGAGATGAAATTTCCGCGAGAAAAAATCGACTCCCGAATATGTAAATATAAGCACGAGGGTCCTCTAGGAATATGTCGACGTAAATTCAATTTTCGGAGAATATCGTTCTTCTTATAACTCCATCTTTTCCTTCTGTTCTAGCGATTATCCTCGTCAAAACTAGTTTTGGAATACTTGTTAAAAACCGATGATAGATCGATTGAAATATCGTCATTTGCATGTTGGAAGAGAAAGAAGATTTTGTAACGATTTTTACATTTCAATTTTTCCTTATTATAAAAGGAAAACATTGTAATAAGTTAAAAAGATAGAGGAAAACGCTGTAATAAGTTAAATAGTGAAATAGATGCGTTTATAAGCGAAGCAATTAGATTTTATTAAATTAATTGTATTAAAAAATATTATTTTTGTGAGAACATGTATCAATTTTTTGAAAGATTTCTATTTAAATTAATCAAGCAATTTCAATACATTATTAATTTTAGTAAAAAATTGTTGTCAATATTATTTAATAAATACTATTCAAGAGTATCTGCACAAACAAAATCCTCAAATTAAAAAAAAGTTTAACTAAAAATAAAATCTTGTCCTTGTATTCTGAATTTTAAAAATAAAATAAAAAATTTAAAAAATGTATCTAAAAACGAAGTAAGTAATAAAAAACAACATCGAAATATGCTCGTAAAATCATCATATTCTTCCTCAGATATATTTCGAATCATTTTATATTTACGAAATGCATTTAATTTATGCGAATGAATTTTATTAGATCGGATTCTTTAAATGCATTATTCAATTATTTCCATTTATGGACCCGGCCAGATCCTTCATCGGCAAACCGGTTTCCGACGTCGCGACGGAAGCGGGAGCGAGCGATCTCGCAACGACCGCGACGGTGGTAGCGGCGGCGGTGGCGCCGACGACGACGACGACGACGACGGTGGCGGCGAGCGGATGATTTTTCGTCGCCGTCCATCTTCGCGCGTCCGTAGGTGTCTCCGCGACCGCCGAATATCAATTAACTGGGTCGGTCTGCGTGGATAAGCGTGGATCAGTGCGCGTGACAGAAAACCCCTCGTCGAGTGGCCCCTCGAGGCCGGATCGCCCGCGATCGCCTTTGAAATATACGCTGTTTGACCGGTACCCGTCACGGGGTACAATGAGGCTCGTTGGGGGCGTCGAGCGTTGTCGCCTGAAGGGCTATCGATAACTTGTCGTCGCCAAATTACACGCGCCCGCGCCGCGCCCCGTCGCGCACGCGACGCGCTCCTCTCTCTCCCCCTCTCTCTCTTTCTCTCTCGCATACACACGTATATATTTCACGTTAATAAATAAATATAATAAACACGTACTCTCTCTTTCTCTCTCTCTCTCTCTCTCTCTCTCTCGCGCGCGCGCGCGCGCGCGCACACGCGCCGTCTGTCGAATCGCCGATTTCCTTTCCATTGCGCTATCGCCATCCGTTCTCCACTACTTATCCCTCCTCTTCATCTCCCCGTTTGCGCCTTCCTTTCGCTCGGTTCCTTTCGCTATTCGCACACACTCGCGACCTTGCGCCTAATCCCGCGCGCGCAGTAGGCATGCAGATTTATGCACTTGTTCATGAGCTGTGTGCTTCCAAGATTACGTGATTATATTGATCAGTGGACGTGTGAGACTTTTGCTTCTAAGAAAAGCTCGTTTTAAGCCCTCAATCTCCCGGAAAAAATATATTCATTGTCGTTTAATTTGTATTTTCTTTCTATAGTCTGCGCTCAAGCAAAACGTATATAAATAATTTTCTTTCCCGGATTAGTGTAATCATTTCCTTTTCTAGGCTCGGGATCGGAAATTTTCGAGTTATTATCTTTTTTTTTAATTTCTTGAGTGACGGCATGCAAGACATTAATTTATTTGAAAAGAGAAAATGTCGAATTCTATAATTCGTTATGATTATATAGTGAAACATAGGGGTCTTAATTAAAAATCAAACAGCAACACAAATAAAAAAGCAACATAAATTTTGACATCTTTATATGAATTATTGGTGATGTAAGATGCACCTACATATGTTGAGAAATGCGAAATATTCCTGTGGTATTATGTTTCAACGATTATCTCAGTCAACCGAGCGATAAATTATTACACAATTTTTGCACATGTTAATACATCATCGTCTAAAGATCTTTATCTAAATTCTGACTATAATTAACTTACATGGGAATTTAATGTTATCTTTTAGAAAACGCAATTACGAGTCGAAGAGATCGTATATATTTATTGCCGCTGCTTTGCAGGTTCCGGAAGGATGTCGTCGACGGTGGTAAAGAATGCCGCGAAGGGCGTCAACGCGGCCGGCGACGGCAGGGAGACTTGGTCGGGGAAGCTCGATTTCTTGCTGTCGGTCATCGGGTTCGCCGTCGATCTCGCCAATGTGTGGCGATTCCCGTACCTTTGCTACAAGAACGGTGGTGGTAAGTGCATATCCGCAGTCCGAGCGGGCGGTGCGCTCGCTCGCTCGCCCGCAACGCGCGCGACGCGTTTTCCGCGCGGTTTATTTTCGATTATTTCGCGCGCGAGCGTCGAGTGCTCCTCCCTGTCATTGACGGGGCGCAGTGGCAGGAATACGATTTCAATAATCCGCCCTTTCACCCATTATCCCACCCCCGCCGCTCGCGTTTTGTTACGAGAGTAACGAGAGTCCCGCGGTTTCGCCTAAGCAAACGCGAAACCCTCCCCTCCTCCACCGCGCCTTCGCCACGAGCTTCGTATAATTTTTCGCATCATCGATCGCGGGAACCCTGGCATTATTCACGCCTCGCGTTTTTTTTTGCGCCTCAGGAATACACGTGGACGGAAATTGCCGGACGGAATTATGACCGGTTCCACCTGCGTCGATCGCATTTCATCTTTCGGCGCTCTCGCGCGCCGAACGAGATTCTCTCCCCGTCCGTCTCTGAAATCCGGGAGATACAACAAATCCGCCGTCGATTCTAATCGGTTGACTAGTTGTATGGCGACTGATGTCAATTTGCGTTAGGAACGCTGTTTAAAACGTTTATTATTACGTCCGTCCGGAGTGTAATTATTACTCCTTTAGCATCGGATCCACGGAGTTAGGGTCTCATGTACTACTTGCGTCAATGCGGAAAATTGCATTATGAATCACTTATTTGCGTCACGGAAAACATCGTCATGATTACGGTTGAGCCGTTGCTCTCGGTTTAAATTCGAAATTAATTAAGCAAGAAGATACACAAGTTGCTGAACTATAAAGTTTACTTGTTTCTTCCTTCAACCTTGACATTCTTCGTTATCTTTATTTATTTTTTTTTTTTATTGCGTTCTTCTGCGTGACTTCCTGCGACGCGAGAACATACTGTCACGGCTAGCTCCCTTTCGATACTCGTGTGCGGGGGAAAACTTCGTCAACCGATGCCCGTAACAACGTCGGACGTTATTTCGCAGTTAACTTAACTCGACGGGGTAGAGTCGGGTGTTACGCGTCGTCGAGTAATATACTCCAGCCGGCGAGCAATGGGCGTGCTAACCGGTCGGCTAATTGGCATTTACCTCGCGGAAAATGACCTCGGGATTTAGATCTCGCCCGGCAAAGATTCCCCGACGACGGTGTAGCAACTCTCTGCAGGTGCCCAAATTGGTTATAATTACAGAGAAGTAGTAATTTACAGGGCGGCTTTTCGTAAGTCGCGTGGGACGTTTACCCATAGTGATGTTAACCCTTGTCTTCGTTTTTTAACGAGAGCGGGCGAGTGCGAAAGTGATTAAAGCTGTGTGTTCACCGCTTGAATTTCTTTTACTTGCAAGTTGCAATAACTCAGCTTTATTATATAACAGGAATTCTAAGAATTCTAAGATTTTTTTATTTTATTTTTTTTTAGAAACAGAAGGTTATGCTTGATTGCGAATAGCATACTGCATACAAATGTCGCTTTTGTTGTAATATGATTGATATTTAATTAATTATTTTGTTATACTATTATATCAGTTGTCTATCAATTGCATTGCCTGCATTATGTAAATTTTGTAAACAGTTAACATGTTGCGAGCATTCCGCCTTGACATCTCGGTTACACTAATATAAGTATTACGCGCCGAATTTGCATAACATGTCTTGAAACGACGAAAAAAACCGACTTATCAGTTAACATTAATAGCTGTGCATAAATCAGAATAAATTAACAGGCTCCTCATATTGCAACGATAATTGCACTTTCTCGTATTGCAATTAATTCGCGCCTTTACTTATTACGGAAAAAGAAGAAATGACACTTTTGCTGATCTTTGAACATATAATTAATTAAACAATAAAATTAATTTAAAAAGCTACAGTATTTTCCCATTTACGCCTAGTAACCACCCCAGTTAAGGATCGTAAATTATTATTATGAAAAAAATCTTTGTTGAAGTTGTCTATAACTAGCAATAAAATTGGAAACTTCTCGATATCTTCAAACGTGAATCATCGCATTTCTAATAGATGTTAAAATAGTATTGATGAAATAATGATCCGTGTCAATAAAGAACAATGAGAAATAAATTGAAATTAAATTTCTAATGATTTAGTATATTAGTCAAAAATCCACAAAAATCGTGAAAATGTTCCCATAATTTTCTCAGATTTACAAAGTGTAGCAATAAAATCAAATAATATAATATTTAGAAATGAAATTTCCTTCGCAAATATCTGACGCAAATAAAATAATAATTAAATATTTGCGTATCTGAACGTAAAGTTATAATTCCTGTAAATTAACCCTCGGAAGAGAGAACATACTCTTCGCTGAACTATCGCTGAACTATGTCACTCTTAACTCGTTTGTATTGAATAATCAAAGGGTTGTTCCACGTATAAATATATAGTACATAAAACAACAGTTTTTGAGTTTTAAATTTCTTACATCCTTGCGAAGGAACGTACGAGTTTTCAAAGACCAACAAATACCATCGAATCTTGAGTGATACCATCGTTATAGCCAAGATTTAAAGTTGGTTTAAAATAATAAAAATTTTTATTTTGCTCGAAGCTTAATTTCGACAAAGGATCTCCTCATTCGAAGTTAATTAATTTTGTAATTAGATATATCAGTTTCAATTTTAAAAAGAAAAAGATCTATTAGAGGAGAGGAAAAAAAACCCATGTCTTCTGAGTACTCTCCGTATAAGTCGCATGTGGCGTCGAACATACATTTGCATTTACTTTATTCGTGAGCTTCCGCGATTATCAATCTGCCGTCTCCGCTCCTCGATGAAAGCTCCGATCTCACCTCCGCCGCGCGAGATCGCCTCCCGGCTTCCCGCTTCTCTCGGCGTGAGATCGATCTCTTGGAAAACGGTTGGCAATCTTATTGACTTTTGCTAAGCCCCGCTGCGGCGACGGCGATGGCGACGGCGACGACGGCGGCGGCGACGACGCCATTAGTACCGGTTCTATCGGGTTCTACTCCCCAGTAGGAATGCGATTAGGGCCGCTGTCAGTGATACAGAGGCTCCTCAAAAGCGGCTGCCAACTCAATTAAGAGCGGAGTAGAGCGCGCGGCTCCGCGCCATTAGGATGGGCAAGATCGGTCGCTAATTTCCAATTACCTTAATTAATTATAATTTCCCATTCGGGACGCGGGCCTTTGATCATGGACGTGCGCGACGCCGCTGCACCCCGCCGGACGGCGGCTGCGTCGTTATCGCCCTACGGGAGGCGTTATTAACGTGTTGTTTCGTGATTATAATTCGGAGCAGCCCGTACATACGGTATCGATATGTATCAGCCCCCGATGGCTGTCTACCGTTTGTTCGTTACTTCGACAACTTTTTATCCGTACATTTTTTATGCGTGACACATCGAGTTTTCCCTCGCGATAGTGAATAGACATATGAAACAAATTGGAGATAATTCAACGGATATCATAAAAATTTCTAATAAAACGATACTCGATGAAAGTTATGTGAATCGTTCGAGAGAATTTAAATTGATAAACTTCCTATAATAATTTTATTTGCTTGATTATGTTATACATAAATTACGTATATTTTGTTATTTATGAGAAAAATTAAATAAAAGAAAATCACATTTTTTTATTTTGACTTGGGAATAATTCGAACTTATAAAAATTAATGGAAGATAAGATTAGATGATTGCAAACGAGATTATAAGCGCAAATAACATATATATTTTATTCAAAATATGTTATCAAAGAAACAAAATTACATTTCGAATTTTTGCAATATGTTATAATATTTTGCAACACAATATATTTCTATGTTCACCTATCTCGTCATCTAAAAAAAAATTAATTAAAAAATATATAAATTTTTAAAAATACTTTAAAACTTTTTTATTTGACATAAAATTGTATTTATTGTATTATAAAAATTTTTTATTTGGTATAAATTGGTATTTGTAATAAAATTGTTCATGTTTTTTTAATAATGTTTTAAATAATTAAATACTTAATTGAGTTATTCTTGGGAGCCTATTTTTTCAATTTAAATTCATTTTAATTAAGTTATATTTAAGAAGAAACGCAGGAAATTTATCTTTAAATGTTTATCACGATTATAGGAAGCTCATCTCGCATGTTCGTTCAGTCGGGCGTCTATTGCATCTTCATCGTATCTACCTGATTATTTTGTCATAATTTTCACGGAAATTTCCATCACGCAAAATTCTCGGCGTTACAATATACAGTTTTTCCATTTGACTGAACGTTAAGATTCCAGGTTAGCAGGAAGTGCGTTTTCGTGCGTTTGTAATGTATCTTGATGTCGTTCGTAAATGCTAATCGAAATTCTAGACCGGTTTGCTGTAACGATACAGGTTACTCAATCGACGATGACCGAGTAGCCTTGCGCAATGTCATTTATAAGGAAGTCAATTCTCGTATTATGAGACAGATTAGTGGTTTAAGTTTTTCTTACGCAGCTCACGTGCCGCGCAATCTTTTTTTTTATCATATACGTAGCGCGGAATATCATAACAAATTCAGTTATTCAAACGAGTGAATCGGATTAATTTGTTATGCAGGAAGCAGGTGATCCAGCATCGATTCATTTCAAAGAGTTAAAAGTTAAAGTGAGATGTGTTACATCAAAGAAACTTTATTCTATATTCAGAATGTATTAATTACACATATCTGAATATGATTTAGATTATTCTTTAATTAATATTTTATGTATATTAAGATCCCAGTTTACATAATAATCTTTGCATAAAATTAGCGAACGCAATCTCTCTCATAAAATCGTGATTTATTATCCGAGAATTTATTCGAGCCGATGAATTTTTGTAGGACAATAAAGTTTCGGAGCATAAAGCGAAATGGCTCACAGAGATTGTTCTCTCTCTTGATATTTATAATACTTACACTTGAGAAGTGCGTGCTCTCTCTTTCTTCAAAGTAATGCGAGTCAAATTTTGTTAATGGACGGCACCAGCATCACCGGCGCGGCAGCTCGACCTAGACCCTCGTGTACCTATATCGGTGAAAGCGTATTCCGATCGACGGGCTACAATTGGCGCGATTATCTCGCGAGAATGCATTACGTTTTATTCGAACAAGCTTTTCGCCTTTGTTCGGGCGTAAAATGCAGCTTTAAGCACTAAGCCTTTGCGTGAGTGCCTGCTCGCGTTCAAAGGGAGAAAATTGAGCGGAACTGTTGTCCGGGGCCGGACGTTTGCTCTCGACGTTAGCGACATGTCAAGACAAGAGAAAGAGAGAGAGTGGGATTGTTCTAGATTTTGGAATTAATTTTTGTCGAATCTTTGATGTTTTGCGAATTCGCCTTCCCTTACAAAATAAAAATATTACAATAACTTTATCAGGACCTTCATATTTTTTTTTTAAAGAAGCGAATAATATCTGCCAGATATGTTGATCTCGATTTTGTTTAAGCATATTAAGAGCGTTTTAGATTGGATCATGATTTTAATTATGACTCGTAACTAATTTTCCGCGTAATGGAGCCATCCGGTGATGAATAGCTTACTTCGAGAGAATACAATTTTTAGTACGATCGATCGACGATTTGTGCTCCGGCAGGGACAAGAAGAAATTAATCAAGGTTGCTCAACGACAATATCCTTCTTAATGCGATTACATCTCCATGGGTACGGGACGGAAGTTCCGTTGGAGCTAAGAGAGAAGATCAAGGAAATAAGTACAGTCTCTTGCTCTTCCCTTTTTGATTGCATCTACCTACATTGCCATTATTATTTATGCAGTGCGAGCGGTACTGAACATAGTTTATTCAATAAAATTTTTTTCCGACAAGCAATGAAAGGTTGCATAATATAAATTATTACTATATATTGTATAAGGAAGTCAAATATTGATTGACAATTTGACGCATATTCAATATAAACATATACATAATTATATTAGTATAATAAATATTGTTTCAAATTTGTTTTTTTTTCATCTTCATATATTTCTAAACTTCTGCAGCGACTTTTCTTCATAGATCTACAAACACATAAAAAAGTATACGTTAATGCTTTTGAAATATACTTTTGAAATATTCCAATTGTAATACATAATGCATAAATATGATTTAGATACCATTATTATTTGTTCACTCAATATATTGATTCGCGACTTTGCTTAATCAAATTACTTCGTTCTTTCGGGGAAACGCTGAATTCGATAAATTTATTCCATATTATATATGGGAGAAATCAATGTGTACATAGAGGCAGAAAGATAACACACGCGGCTCAGAGAGAAACCGGTGAAAAAAATGCGATATATGACGCACTCATACCAGCGGGTTAGTTCCATAACTGCATTGTGCGTTATTTAGAGCACCGGTAGCGAGGTGCTTTTAGGCACGTAATTCGATAGTCAACTTTCGGAAATGCGGCAAGGTGACATTAACACGGTGACGCGACTGAGTCGATCGTCAGGCTGACAGGAACGGTGAACCGGGAGCTTTATCTAAAAAATTATTCCCGAAGAGTTTTTGCAATTCCGACTGCCTAAAGTTTCAATAGACAGCGCGAACATTAGAACAAGTGAACTGATCGTCCGGCGGGGAATAATGTGACTTTCGTTCCTACTTTCTGCGGGAGAATGTAAATAAAATTTCATTTTTATTTCCGTCATTATATAAAAAATAATAGCATATATATTATCTTTATAAAAGATATATGTAATATTATCTTTATAAGAGATGTATAATAATATACTGTTGCCAAGATTTATTATAAATCTAACGATTTTTAGTTGAGAAATATCGTGCACATTATTGAACAGCATTAACATATAATTTTCAACAAGCAGTGAAATGGTTTTTGATTGTGCTAACTTACAAAATTCCGTGTCACGATTTTTCATTGAAGTTTGTATTAAAGTTATTTAAACTGAAGAAGGCGCGCGTTTCCTTTTAAAGTAAACTCTAATGATTTCTTTAACAGTTTCTTAGCGGCTACATTTCTTAGCGGCGCGCCTTTCCTTTCGTCTCTCTAATTTTGCTCGTCTTTTAACTTCGCTTCCTTCTTGTACGGGACGACACTTTTCCGGAAGCAGCTCTCTTTCGTTCCTCTCATTCCCGCTTCCTAGATCGCACAATAACTGCTCTACTTCGTCGCACAATAGCCCCCCTTGTCTTAAGATTCAGTAATTTTTCGCAACACTCTCCGTTCTAAATAGACGTCCAATGGACGAATGAATAATCGGATCTCGTTTGATCGACTTATGTCAAGTAATTGAATTATCGGATAGAATTGTATTATTATGATGCAATGTTAATTGAAAATGCTATAATAATGATTGAGAATGAGCATTTAATAAATTCTTGTGATAATATCGTTTTAATATAAACATGAAACGAATATGAAATTTATAAAATAGGATAGGTAAAGAAAACAGAATTTTAAGGTATTTCCCTGATGATAATTGTCTCAATTAATTTGGAGTAGAAAAAAGGAATTGAAAGATACGCACATCGTGCATGCTGTTTTAAAGTGCTGCAAATATTCATTATTATTATTCATTTATTTTCGACTGCTCCACATTTTAACACAGGACTAACGACACGATTAACGTATATTTAAATATATTATATCTGTATCTTTGAAAAAAGAAATGAAGAGAGAAAGTAAATATGTAGATCAATTTAATTATTTACATATTGTAACAAAAATAATGGAAAATCTTAGGAAGTGCGTCGTTATAATTCTTTTTTAAAGTTGCAAATCAATAATTTTGACTACTTTGATAGTTCTAGCGTTAAACTGACAAGTGTTTTTAAATGGGCTTCGTACTTCTCTTCGCAGGTGCATTTCTGGTTCCCTACTGCGTGATGTTGGTGGTCGGCGGTATTCCTCTATTTTACATGGAGCTCGCTCTTGGTCAATTCAACAGAAAGGGTGCTATCACTTGCTGGGGTCGACTGGTACCGCTTTTCAAAGGTAAGCGTAATTAATTTATATGTTACAAATGCGACAGAGTATATCATATTTCCTAATTTTTACACCGTTAAGTCTACATTGTCAAATTTAACCTTATTTAAGTTGTCATTGCTCCTACTTAATAAATAGTTATTTTTAATTAAAACAATGGAGTTAAATAATTTTAAACAGTCCAATTTAATCCAAATTTGGGTTAAATTTCATTGTTTTATTTAAAAATAACTATGTAACAAGTAGAAGCAGACTTAAATAGGGTTAAAATTTGACACTATAGGTTTAACAGTGTACATACCTCTTTGGTATGTTATATAAATGTACATGATAGAGATACAATGATAGAGATGACTCGAAATGTTTGTATACGATGCAAATTGAATATAATTGTTCGAATATCATTACGGTTAGTGTGCGCGGCAAATGAGGAAAGAGTAATGATAAATCTTTTTAATCAAATCATATTACGTCTTCATATCTATGCGATCATGATTTTCCTCTAATTCGAAAATCATCAACGTTCCATTCATAATTTGCAAAGACATTTTACAGTCATATAATAAGTCTTATATAATCGCGTAGAACGCGTATATGCGTGCAGCAAAAAGCGCCTGAAGCGGAAGAAATGAAGAAGTAAAATTGTAACTCAAGTTCTCGAAAGTAAAATCGATTTTTGCAAACTGATCGCAAGAAAAAAGATGTCACGTCAACGAGCGATGCATTATAAAATCATATCGCATTACTTATTTAATCATACGGACAGTCTCAGGTACTAAAATTGAAACGTAATAATGTCCGATGACGTTATGACATAACTGCGGCCAGTGATTTATCAATAGCCAACACAATTCGGCTTAATCTTTTTATTCCTCTTTAACATCAATTTTAGCCAATAGCTATCAATTCTAATGTCAAAACGAAAAACTCTCGGAATACGACCATTGAACTTAACGGTCGGACAATAGAACCTGCTTCTTTCGATTTCTTTACTCTCTCGACTATCACTCTCTTTGTCGAGCGTACATGGATACACTTAAAAGTTTATAGCTTCTCGCGTAACGGCGGTCGCGCACCGACCATTGAATCCGCTCACGCACTCGCCGCGAGATTCATGAGACATACATCTCGAGACGATTACGACAGGTATATATATATATATATATATATATACACCGTATATATACTGTTCGCGCGTAGAAATCCGCGCGCGAACCGTCCGGGAAAGTCTTTTCAAAAGCTTAAGAGCCGGAACGGCTCCCTCTTTACTCTCATTATATTTTACTTTCTCTCCTTCCCGGTCCTCGGACAGGGTGAGATATTGGTATTCCAAGCCTACCCTTTCTATCCAACTTCGCGATCTTTCCCTTTTTCCAGCTACTGCAGAAACCGCGAGACTATAAATCGCCCGATCTTTTGGCGCGCACGAGGCTGAAGATGTCAATCGCGGACTGGACACGATGTACTTATATGTATAAATAACGTACATACATATATATGCTTACACATACATATATGCATATGTATATATTATATATATGTTAATTATATGTATATTAAATATATATACTATATATACTAAAATGACAAACATATATATTGTGCTCATCTATGCGCACAGTCTCATATATATATATATATATATATA